AGTCTGGCTGAACAAGAAGTGCCTCTTTCTTGATGATGTTTGAACTTGGGTCTTAATGTTAAGAAAAGGTCAGCCATTCAAAATTGAAAAGGACAGCCCAGAAAAGAAAAAAGAACAACTATTGCAAAGAGCTAAGACAGGATAAGCTTGGTCTGTTGAGGCACAGAGTGAAGACCAGTGTGACAGCAGAAAGTAGGAGAGAGTAAACAGTAGGAGATCTGGCAGATACCAACCATGGAAAGCAATCCAGGTTTTATTCTGTGTGTGGTCGGGGAGCCACTGGAGGGTTTACGCAGGAAGGTGGTCTGATTGCCCGCTCTGGCTGCTGAGTGAAGAACAGTCTATAGAGGGACAAGATGGAAACTGGGAGCCATGCTAGGAGTTTACTGCAGAGGTTAAGGCAAGTGAGGATGATAGCATGTACTTTAATGGTGTAAAGAAACAAACAACGACAAAAGGAAAAAAGATTCAGAATATGTTTTGGAAGTAGAGACAAGACTTGATAGTACAGACATGAAGGGTAAACGAAGTAAATAAATGAGTAAGATATGCCTAGGCCTTTGTGAAACTGAGTAGCCAGTGATTTAACTTACTGAGATAGGGAAAACTGGAGGAAAAGTAGATTTGGGGAAAAATTCAGTTGGCCACTTGACATTCTGATCAAATAAAGTAAGGACCTCAAGAGGACAGCCAGGTATGTGAGCCTTGAGCTCTAGGATCAAGTTTGAATACCTGGCAAGAGATTGTTCTCAAAGTCCAATGGTATAACCTGCTTATTTGTGTCTCTGAGTAATCAGTGCTCTTTCAGAAGAATAAACTTTGGAAGACTAATAGACATAATTTGATAATAGTAATGTATATGAACAAAAGGTTTAGAAAATCTGAACCTCTTTAAACTGATAAAGGATTGTTATTTTAGAGATGAGATGTTTATCACTGATAATTAGAACAACTATCTCTGAGAAATTTAAGTACACAGCCTGGTTTCTGATTGCCTATCTATGAATCTCAGCCTCTACACTCACCAACTGTACAACACTGGGCAAATCATTTAATCTCTTAGTGCCTCAATTTCCTCATCTATAAAATGGGGATAGTAGTAACTATATCCCTGTATACTTGTGAAGATTAAGTGAGCTAGTACATGTAAAGCAATCAAAACATTATCTGGCACAGAGTAACCACGCAACAAATGCAAATTAGTAATATTATCTGCAGTCTCCCTACAGTGTACACAGAAGTGTCTTCACATTTCAGTTTTCTAGTTAGATGCTTGGTAAGAGATGGCATCAAAGACACAGAATAAGCTAGGGAAGTATACAAAAAACTCTCCTCAAAAGCAGGGGCCAAGAATTTTGCAGACTGCTAAAAACATCCTCTTTAAAATTAAGCTAAAAATATGCCAGTCATTCCTAAATCCATATCTCTAGCCCTAACCCAACCCTGGAGCTCTGGACTCATGCACCCAGTTGCCTATTAACATTTGACTTGGTAATTTAGTAGGCATATTATACTGGAATAAAAAGGAAATCCAATCAGTGTTCTCTTTAGTTAAGTGAATGATCAAGTGACCACTTCCAAAAGCAGAAACTCCCAGCTCTGATCCACAAGTCACAAAATCCATGATGTGAATAACATTCAGCTTCACACTGACAAAGTGCCAAGTTTGGTCAACTACATGAAATCAGAGGTATTGTAACTGCTCACTTTATCATTAATGTTTTGTATCCATGATTCTACTGCACGTATTGTCTACTACAAATCACTTCAAATAATTTCTTAAGGTAGGCAGGGAAAAAGGAAATAAATGAATGAAATGGAATATTAGATTACATTAGACGACTCCTAGGCTATGCTGCCGGAGGCAGACTGTGCTGTACACACCTCAGCAGAGACAACTATCAGCCATCTTATCCTGGTACATGACTCCAGTCACCACCAATGATGTTACCAATGAAGTGACCAGATAGCCAAGGTGAACAGTTTCAGCAAAATTCTAATAGCTTGGTCTCCCACTCTCAAATGTCTAGACTGGATGAGAAATTATGTCTATGTATATATATGATCACCAAAAGCCCTGTAGCATGCATTCATTTATTCAGCTATTATCTATCAAACACGAGTGAAGTGCCAGGTCCCCTGCTGGGCTCCAGTACAATGCAGAATTCTAGTACAGGCGTACCTTGGAGATATTGCAGGTTCAGTTTCAGATCACCGCAATAAAGCAAATATCACAATAAAGCAAGTGACATGAATTTTTGTTTATACCATACTGTAGTCTGTTAAATATGCAATAGCATTATACATTAAAAAGTACGTATTTCAAAAATAATTTATTGCTTAAAAATGCTAACCAACGCAGGGTTGCCACAAACCTTCAACCTGTAAAAAAAATGCAGTATCTGCAAAGTACAGTAAAATGAAGTATGCCTGTAGAAAAATGAAAGGTCCTGAAGAGCCATAAGATGTATGCAAAAAGGGTCATATGCGGATCAAAAGCTTTATTTTAGTAAGGGTCTTTGAGTTACCTACCACATCTAAGACATGAAATAAGCAAAAGCATAGTACACTTCCTTAGACAATAGATAGCTGGATAGTTTAGGCAAGTGTCATATATACTGTGTGCCAACGTCTGGGCATCCATGTGTTTGCATAGTTTGATCTTAGAAAACATACAAGAATTCTTGACCATGAATGTTGGGCCTCTGTTGTAGATGTAGACTGCTGATTAAATGACTAAAATGCTCCATCACCTTACCACCATATGTGTGAACTGGAAACAGGTAATAAGGAAAGATGTTTACTTTTATAGGCAAGTAGTGTAACACACAACAGGAATGAGGGCATTATTACAGCTATCTTTCCTTTCTCTAACTTAAGGCACTATTTCTCCTTTGACTTTCAAAACAAAGTATTAGTCTGATCTTTCTTCATTATTATAGGTAGAATCAGGAAACCTGAATTGGTGCAGCTGTGATTTCTTCTGAATTAGAAACACTACACAGATTAGTTAGACAAATCACCAGTAAATAATCAATCAAGGAGATCTCAAGGAAGCGTATGTGCTCACCTAACTTCACAGCGGTTAACAAAGGGCCTTTGATAAACTTAATATTAGCAATTCTCAAAACTTATTCTTACAGCTAGAAGGAATGTAAGAAGCAGGGTGATACTGGGAACCCCAACATATTATCTCGATGGGAATCCTGGCAACTTAGATGAAAGAGGCTGTAACACTTTAAAGTTCTAACCAGATTCAATGTTTGGAACTGTTGGTTGGCAAAACCCTTGAAAAGATGATCTCCAAGGATCCCTCATTTTACAGATTATGATAATGATGCTCAAAGAAGCCACACAGTAATTGTGGGAAAATGTGACTTTGAAAGTCAGGCATACTTGACTAACTTCTTCCCAGATCTCTTCCTTGCTGAACATTAACTTTTCTGTTTCTCATCTATAAAAATGAAGGTAATGCTTACCTTTTAAGCATGTTATGAAGATCAAATGAATTCATATTTATGAAAACATCTGGCACATAACAGATAATATATGTTAATTTCCTTCCTTCCAAAGGGTGACTAACTTGAGAGACACAGCTGGTGAGAGGCAAGAGGCAGGACTAGAATCAAGAATTAAGATCCCCTTCACCACTTAAAAGGAATTCAACTATTTCTTAATTGGCCTCTATCCTTGAATCATATCATAAAATATGTTTTTTAACACCTGAATTGTAGGGGGCAGGATTAAAGCAAATGTGGAATACCACAGCCTGCAAGGAAAGGTATTCATGCCTTCAATCAGGGATACGTTTACTGGAAACAAAGCTGCAAAAAAGTCAGGAGGTTTAATCAAGGAAGTATTATATTGGCAACCTTTTAAAAAATGACATCTGCTCAGTATGTACATGAAGTCTGCCCTGCCTTTCTGGAAACAATGCTGTAGTAGAATTTTGTTGTTTTTAGTGGATATTTAATAACTCATATTTCAAGATTAATGTTTGCAGCAAATATGTATCAACTGTTAATCATGTGCAGGGCCCTGTGGACTCTACAGATGTGAATTAGGCTTTCGCTTTGTCCTAAAAAAATCTTAGAATCTAGTAAAGAAGAGAGGTAGACTTGGAAGAATGACTTTTAAAAAACAAAGAAACAAAAAACCCACCAAATTGTACATTAAGCCACGGGACTTTAAAAGTTCAAGGCAAACCTGCAGTGAGGAGTTACTTAAAGCTATCTACTCAATAATAAAATGTTCACTGCATTGGCAGTGGGTACACACAGCATAATAAACACTGTCTGAATTGTGTTAACTGAATTCTAGTTTTGTTTCTGACACCAACTAACTGTGTGAACTTCTGCTATTTGAAATCTTTAGGTTTCATGTTCCTCACCTGTAAAACGAGTGAGTTCAAGTGGGATTTCGTCTCCTTCAGACTCAGAGTCCAAATTACATGATAATGATAGCAAGAAGAACTGAAGCTAGCTTTTATTTACCGCGCACATATTATGAAGCAAGCACTGTGCTAAAAGTACATCATGTGTATTATCTTCATTTAACCTTCACAACAAGCTTATGAAATTGGTATTACTATTCTTATTTTACAGATGAGGAAAAAGAGACAAAACAGTATTAGAGGCTGGAGTTGCGATCTGAACAGAGGACTGTCTGAATTTAATCCAGGAGTTAACCCTTAACCATTACGCCCAAACTCCGTCTCCGTGAAAACTGTCTTATCCACTAAGAAATGAGGAAAAGAAAAACTGCCTGGAAAAGGGTCCTTCCTGACTATAGGGCAGATCTGAGTTAAGGTCACACGTGTCTGTTCTACATGTTAGTAAGTCTCTCGCACCACTTGCTCCCCGATGCTCGCGCGCTCCCACAGCCATGCGCCCCATCGCGGGGCGAACCCGGTGACGACCAGAGCCAGGTCCGGGCTGAGGCGCACGGACCGGCGGGAGGCTGGGGGAGGCCCCGCAGGAGCGCGGGGAGAGAGAGGGTACCTGGACTGCTGGCGGCTCCTGCCGGCTGGTGCTCCCACCACTCGTCTCCAAGATCGTCTGCCATCTCCACGCAGGACTCGACGTGGGCTGAGCGCCAGGGAAAAGCGGGAGCTGGCCTGAGCTCGCTGCCTCAGAGCCCAGCGGCCGGCGTTGCAGCACGCGTAGCCTCTCCTCAGGCTCGGTCGCCTCCGCCCCGCGGCGATGACGCCGTAACCTCCGCCCCGCCTCCCCGGCAGCTGCGCCCAACTCGTGGCAGTTTCTACACCGGTCCTAACTGGCTCGCTCAGTCTGGAGACTCAAAGTAAATCCTCACAAAAGCATAAAGACAACAAGACACGTAAAAAAAATTATCGTTTTTTAAAATGCTTCTTTTAAAACCTTTTGTTTAGGTTTTATTTTTGCCGAATAGATATTGTCGAAAGTGCGAGACGAGATGCTAAGACGATTTTTCTCTGTTCAGTTTGAAAGAACTTGAGTCGCGGGAGAAAACCAGAGCACGTGGGTGTGTTTTCGTTTGTGTGTCAGTGTTTTGAGCATCCATGTGTTTGTACTTAGAAAACGTGCACAAGAACTCATGATTGTGAATTTTGGGGCTTTGTTATAGATGAAGGTACTGTTCTTTTTATACTGTATGAGTAAAGAAAATGATTGGTATAGAAGTGGTCGCCCACCGACAGATCCAAGTGGTCCGGAGAGTTTAGAGTCAGGTTCCCTACGCCCACTTCGGTTACGGTGTCCCTCACCCCGGTTTTGTGAAACAAAGAAGGAAAAAAGAACGGAGCCCACTGCTGCCTAAGTGTAGGTAAGAGACCCACAGTGCTTGTCTCACTCCCTGAAGTGGCGGCAGAGATGGGCAGGGAAACCCCTCTGCTGGGGCCAGTTTTAAGTGTGGATGATACTTTTCAGGGCAGTCTTCGTACACAGAGGTGAAGGCCATACAAAGATGTGTTAAGTATACACAGTGTCCGGCATTATGATTGGAATAGTGGTTTAAAGATGAGTAGGATATATCCCACTTTCCAGATGTCACCAACTCTAGTAGAGGAAATACAAAAATTGTAAGAATAAATGTGTAAACTAATGATAGGGTACATCCTCGAAAATGACTAGGACCGAGACTCTTAATCTGATGAGGATAGAATTAGCCATAAGTGAAAAATTACCCCAAACCCACCCAACTAATATATGGCTTATAGATGCATTCCTGCATAGACTTTATCAGTATGCTCTAAACGTCCTAAAAGGGAAGATATTAGATATAAACGTGGCAAATGTAAAAATAATCTGTAATCATCAAAAGTAATGTATCTTTCATGAGGTAATGTAGATGGCAGAAGATTATGGTGGTTGATTGAAAAGGAAAGTTGTTAAATACTAATATGGAAAAGGAAGTGCCAAAATTAAGAAGTCTGTCAGTACCACATTCTGGAGAGTATGTGCAATCAATGAGAATTCTTACACATTACTGCCATGACTGTAAATGGGTAAAACCACTTAGAAGAGCAATATGGCAAAATCTTGTAAAGTTCAACATAATGCATCTTTTGATACAGCAGTTTCCACTTCTAACTGTATACATTTAGGAAGCTCTTGCATGTGTGTACCAGGAAACTATAAAGGAATATTCACAAGTGACACAGTTAATAATAGCAAAAAAGTGGAAACAACCCAAATCTGTTTATATAGGATAACTAAACTGTAGCATAATCACACAAGCAAAATAAATGAATAATAATACATATTATCTACACATAATAATGTGGATATATTTTGGAAACATAATGATGGGTTTAAAACCCAGGTGCCATTTTTTGGAAAATAAATATCCTACTTTATTTCACAGCATCAACTTCCAGATGTCCTCAAGCCTTTTTTTATTGAAGTATAGTCAGTTATAATGTGTCATTTTATAAAGTTCAAATACAAGGAAAATTAAAAATTCTTTAGGCAAAAAATACACATGTGATTTTAAGATAAGAGAATAATAAGCACAAAATTCAGGATATGGATTGGCAGAGGAGGGGAGTGGTCAGGGACATGGGATTAGAAAGAACAAAAGTAAATGTAATTTAATGGTAAAGTTCTAACTCAGGTAGAGTGGGTTTGCATGTAAGTATTATGCCTATAACTTATAGGTACATTACATATATGTTTGTGATATGAAGTAACACTTATTTATATAATTTAAAATACAAGGGGAAAGATCCACTTATAGAAAATACAAATTTTCAGTAGTTAGGTGCTATTCACTAAGGGTTCACTAAGATTCCAGTAATAGACCCTTTATCTCAAATGACACTCAAAAATACCAGACAGTCCTACTGCCTTTCCTATGTGAGTTCACTTTCCCATTCTCTGATCTTACCCCAGGATCTGTCTTTCTCTTGGCCCTGGCTCCCAACTACTTTCACCTTCTTCTAACCTCCTTAACATCAGTAAGTGGCAGCACCCACCCACTAATTTATTCTCATCTGATTTATTGGTAAGTCTGGTTGGATATATCTCCAAAATATATCTCATATCTAACCTTTTAACCATCCTCTCCATCACTTTCATCAGTACAGCCTTGGCCTGAGATAGTTCTCTCTTTCTTGGACCACTGTAATAGGCTTCTAACCACTCTCCCTACTTCTTTTCTTGTCCCACCTCAGTCTTGCTTCCTCACAGCAGTCAGGATCATTATGAAACTCCCCTATTTATAATGTTTCAGTCATCTCTCATCACACACCCCCTCTCCCATCATCTTGGGGACTGTAATGAAATCTCTCTTATTCGTGACTGTAGCCCCAAGACCAAGGATAGTACCTGACACAGAGTAGACACTCAAAGTACGTTGCTGCCTGACTGAATTTGAACTGCCTTTTCTCTGTTTTACTTACCAAACAGCCTTCTGATAGTTCATTTTGTTTCCCAAGTCAGCTTTCTTTCTGGCAACAGACATGAAGGGTCAGCAAACTAAGGCCTCAAGCCAAATGCAGCCCATAGCTTGTTTTGTCCTGGTGAGCTAAGAATGTTTTTAGCTCAAAGCATTGTTAAAAGAAAAAAAAAGACAAAATAAAATGAACCAATAACAAAAAGAGAAGAAAAATATGCAATAGAGATTTTGTTTAGCTCTCATATATTTACTCCCTGGTCCTTTACAGAAAAAATTTTGCTGACCTCAGATGATATTAGCTAGCCAGCCTAAGTTGTACATCCATTTAACTGTTCTATTTATCAGTGAATCGACATCCTAATTTGTAAATCAGTCTATTGTGAAATCCTTTACCCTAGAGTCTGATCACTTCATCTAACATGGAGAAACTCAGGCTGAAACAGGTCTTTATCTGTTCCCTCTTCCTGTGCAGTATCTGAATAAGTACTGTGAGAATTTGAAGGAGGAAGTATTCATTTCGTAACGGGATGAACTGAGAAGCTGTCATAAAGGAGGTGGTCCTTAAACTTGACCTTGTCAGTGGATGTCGATTGGCATATTGTTTTGGACAAGTCATTTCACCTTGCTGGGCTTCACCTTGCTCGTCTGTGGAACAAAAGAAATAAATTGAATGACTCCCGAGGTCTCTTCCAACTCCTTGCCTTAATCTTGAATGCCAGACCAAGAATTCTGGATATTAGTGTTCATTAGATGCAAAGGATGTGATGAAAGTATTCTCTTAAGAAAGCTAAATTGGTATTACTGTACATATTAGATAAAAGATTTGAGCAGAGCTTTCTGTCTGGAGTGGGTGTGATACAATACTCACCCCCTCAGTCTTTGGCGCAGGCAGAGCCCCTGGGCAGTTGCTTCACGCTGAGGGTAACCTCATCTCCTCATTCCAGTGTTGTACAAATATTGCCATTTTTATGGATATTGTTATGTAAAACAGTTGGGAAGGAGTGGATTAGAGGGAGGAGAAAAAAGTTTAAAGGTTGTTTTGTGAAGGTTCACCATACAGCCTGAAAAATGCTTAATCAGGGCAGGGGTTCTTAGTTCTTGAACGCAGTCTATAAATGTACTTCAGGGAGCCCATGAGCCCCTGATAGTGTATTCAAATTTTTGCGTCAGATGGGCCGTGATAACGACGATAATAACAGGAGCAGCAGCAGCAGCAGCAGCAGCAGCATGTTCCAGGTACCTCTCTCGGTGTTTTATATCATAATTCATTTAATTGTCCTCCATAAGGTACTATACTGGATTGAGTATTTTCCATTTAACACTCTACCTTTCTGTGCCCTACAACGCTCATGTCCCCTGAGCTCTGGCTTCAGGTTTGAGTTCAGCAAATTGCAGATGACAGTAAGAAATCAAAGGATGAGAGAAAAATGACACCCTATATGTCCTCTTTTCAAGGCTGGGACTTGGGGGAGGCAAACAGAGGCCTAGGGTGCAAAATGTAAGGAGTCACTCACTCTCAGGCTGGCACTTGCACGAACCTGAGAGTGAGTGCCTCCTTAAATGTGCTGGAGGTGCCTGCTTGCCTCACCCTAGTCCTGGCCCTCATTCATCTACTAAAGGCCACAGCTCCTACTTACTTCCTTTACAGTTTTGGGGGTGAAATGATGAGTTTAGTCTTAGACCAGGTAGAAACAAACAACAAACAAGTAAAGAAATGGATCATTCCAGATAATAAAATACTCTAAAGGAAATAAACAGCAATCATGACCTGGCTGGGAGGGTAAGTGGAAGAGCTTGGCAAGAGAGAAGGGTGGAGAGGGAGGCAGGGGCCAGAACTGGAAAGGCTCCTCAGCCATGATAAGAATTTCAAGTGGGAAACCCTAGGGGATTTTTAGTCTGGGAGATCTGCTTACATTTTCCAAGCTGGCTGGTGTGCAAGAACAGTTGAAGCAGGAGGAGCAGTTTGGAGGCTGTTGCATTTATCCAAGTGAGATAGCAGTGGCTTGGAGATGGGGCCTTTAGGAGATAGTTTAGTCATGAGAGTGGAGCCCTAATGAATGGGTTTAGTGCTCTTATAAGAAGAGGCCAGAGAGCTAGGTAGCTCTCTTTCTACCATGTGAGGACACAACAAGCTGGTCCTCTATAAATTAAGAAGACAGTGCTCACTAGGAATCTGACCATGCCAGCACCAGGATCTTGGACTTCCTGCCTCCAGGATTGTGAGAAATAAACATGTGTTGTTTAAGTCTATGGTAAGTTGTATGGCAGCCTAAGCTGTCTAAGATTTCTGGGCCTCCACTATTCAGACGTCAGGTGGAGGAGGAGA